GCATCACTCTGGGCATGATGCTCCAGTAACAGCCCTGCCACAGCTGTATTTTTAGAGAGGACAGCCAGGTGAAGGGCAGTGTTGCCGTCAGCGTCTGCCAGGTTGGGGTCGGCACCGTGTGCCAGCAGAAGAGCAACACATTCTTCCTGCTCCTGCTGGACTGCCTGGGAACAACACACCAAAAGGAAATGACTCCCAACTTTTACATCCCCCTCTGTCACAACTCCCTCAGCTCCTCAACGCTGCCATAGAAGACCATCTGCAAAGATCAGCTAACAGAGGCCTATGCCGTGCCCATTGCAATGGGCGTGTTTCTATGGCCCTGCCCTGCAAGGAATCCTGCCAGACACCTCCCCTTTAACACACCAGCACTGAGCCCCACCGACAAGCTCCCAAGGCATTCCACACACCTTCATCAGGGCCGTTCTCTTGAAGCTGTCAGCGAGGTTGGGCTGGCTGTTCTTTCTTAGCAGATATCTGACGACATCTGCATGGCCATTGGCCGAAGCCAGATGCAGAGGTGTCCTAAAAATTAAACAGAGGCTCTTAACCCAGACAGACAAAGGATGAGCCCAAGCTGTGTCTCTACCCAGCACCCTGGGGACCCTGCCCGGACTCTGCTCCTCCCGCTCGCTGCTGCTGCTGCTGCAGCCTGTGCTGATGAGCCAGAGGGCAGAAGAGAACAGGTGAGGGCTGAGCAGCTGCAGAACAGCCCTGCAGAGAGACCACGGCCAAGCAGCAGGTGGGCAACAGGCGTTTCCAACAGCGCTGGAGCCCGGCCGGCAGCTCCAAGCAGTGAAAAGCTCAAGAGTTCCCCCTCCCAGCTGACAGGGCAAATGTCACTTTTCAAGCCTTGTCCTTAAGAGAGGGCTGCCCAGGACTACTGCAGCTTGGCTCAGGAGCAGCCCAGGGGTGCCATCAGCGTGGCCCAGAACTCACCGCATCTCCTGGTCTGGCCTGTCGATGCCGACTACCTTGACGTACCAGCGCCAGCGCCTCAGCCAGCCCTGGTCGCCGCGGGCGGCCGCGCGGTGCAGCCTGCCCAGCCCCTGCTCCCGGAGCTGGGAGGTGCTGCTGGAGCTGGTGGCAGCCCAGGGCTGCCCGCTGGTGCTGCTGGATGGCGACTGCCGTCGCTTCTTGCTGAGAAGCCACGGCATGGCCCTGCTTGCAGCTCCCAGCAGCAGGAAGGGCAAGAAGCCCCCGGCGGGCTGCCGGGTGCCAAGTGGGGGTGAGGAATGGGACGAGGGTGAGGTTTAGGGTGAGGGTGACAAAGGGGACAAGGACAAGAATAAGGACGGGCACAGGGTAGAAAGCACAAGGCGGACGAGGTCGCCCTGTGCAGTGGTCGTGGCCTGCAGCTGCCAAGACGGCGATCCAGGCGCGCAACGAACGCTCCCCGAGCGGGATGTGCTGCTGCTCCCCGAGAGGCTCCAGC